AGTAAGTGTTCTGATAACTTCAGGTGAGATAAGGAATTTCTGACAGGACATTTACCAGCTTTGACTGACCCTTCATTCAAGCTGGACTCAGGTCTCTAGCCAGGTAGTAAGCAGTAAATAATAAAGAGGACAATTTCTTTGTTTCAACCTGAAGGCTTACAGAAGTTGTTCGGAGCAGCCTCATTAATATTGGCAAAGCCATTAAAGGCCAAGTGTTGATGTCTTCTGAGCTTGAAGATGTTTACAACAGCATGCTAGTGGGAAAAGTGCCATCAATGTGGGCTGCCAAATCCTACCCATCACTGAAGCCACTGGGAAGTTACGTGTCCGATCTCCTGTGTCGTTTGGTCTTCTTCCAGGTACGCTGAACGGGACTGCCAGGGCGCTGTCGTTGACAGCTGAGTGGGTACAGTGTGTGCCAGTGCTGTCCTCACTGAGCAGCACCCTGAGAGCTCCAGGCTGTGAACTGCTCACACATACACTGCATTGAAAGCATTGGAATTAGCTGGGCAATTGCTCAGCAGGGTGAGTTGGGAGTATAATCCCTGGGTGCTAATTCAGCGCTGCCTTTGATAGTTTCCATTTTTCTGTTTCTAGAAGATTCATTTTAACTGGTATTGATGTCTTAGCATTGGCATCAACAATTGGCATTTAGTCACATTTATGTCACGTACACACATCACAGTCACATACATGTGACTGTAAATCTCTGCTTCCAGACACTTTTTGAACAGCTATTTTATTCTTAACTCGCCCTTCCATTATTTCTCTTGCTCTCACAGCACTTCCCTCTTCTGGTGAATTGGCACAGTGAGGACACAAAAGTACTTTTTTTCTTACATTTGTTCTTTTCTCTCCATATTCAGGATTGGGTCAACAATGGGCCACCCACAGTTTTTTGGCTCTCAGGATTCTTCTTCACTCAGTCTTTTTTGACCGGTGTTTTACAAAACTATGCCAGAAAATACACCATCCCAATCGACCACATTGGATTTGAATTTGAGGTAAGAAAAATGCAGAAGAATTTTGTTTTTCTTGAACAGCTTGAAACATGTTATGGGGCAGCAAGAAATAGAGTTTTCAGATGAAGAGAGATTTTATTTAAAGGAGAAGTTTCAGACTATCACTTATAAGATTTAATATACTCCAGATAAAAACAAAATCAAGCAATGGTTTAATCATTCTAGGTGATGAAGGAGGAGCACACAATGGAGAAAATGCCACAAGATGGGGCTTATGTGAGAGGCCTTTTTTTGGAAGGTGCACGATGGGATAGAGAATCCTCAGTAATTGCAGAATCACTACCAAAAGTCCTGTATGATCCTTTGCCCATAATCTGGCTGAAACCTGGAGAAAGTTCCAAATTTCTTCATATGAACATCTATTCATGCCCTGTATACAAGACAAGTGCAAGAAGAGGTGTCTTATCCACCACTGGCCACTCAACCAACTACGTTCTCTCCATTGAACTCCCTTCAGACAAGCCCCAGAAACACTGGATAAATCGAGGTGTGGCAGCTCTGTGCCAGCTGGATGACTGAGAGGATGCAAGTCAAAACACATTTTGTTATTGTAAAGATATACTTTACACCTCAATGGCTGCATGGTTTGTTTTTTTTTTTTTTTTTTAATGAAATTGAGCCTAAAGAGTTTTGATGCTGATTTTAAGGGGAATCTACTTCACAGCTCCTGCAAATAAGACTCTGTGGATTTGCCAACCACTCCAAAACACAGCTCCATATCAGCCACTGAGAAGAAAATTAACTCTATCCCAGGCAAACCCAGCACACTTCCTCATCTTGCTCCCTTGCATACTGGGCTAATGACTGCCTGAAATTTTGTACTTGTTTAAGCCCTTTCATCAGAGAAGCTCAAAGTAGCTAGCAAGCATTAATTAAAAATGAAATAGCCTGAACATCTTCAAAGAGCTGTACAGCCATTAACTAAACCTCACAGCATGCCAAGAAGGTTCTAAAGATGCATCATTAGACTTGTTGTGTACACGGTACAAGAGAAACACAAAGATCAAGGCAAACATTTAGAAAAACACACACTGCATAAACATCCACTAATTTGGGGTCATGTACTGTTTTTTCATTGCCCAAATTGTAGCATTTTAATGACTTGCTGAAGGCCTCACAAAGTCAGAGATGCAGCCCTCATTCAGTAATTCCCAGTATCCTGCTACAAGTGTTGAGGGATGCTGCTACAACTCCTTAGGACATACAGTTCTTGTCACAGGAATTCATCTGCTGTGTTGTGCTTAGCTGTGACAGGTGACAACAGTGTTCATTATTGTTTTATTAACCACTGGCTTGTTTTAGGCTTCTTCTTGCTGGTATTGCAAGCACAGTCCTTTAAATTAAGCCATTAAAAAAAAAAGTCAGATTTGCTACCTGAATTATATTTTATGGACATCAATTACTTTTAAACTGTTGGAAATCTTGTGTCATAGCTTGCCAAGTGGGTTTCTTGTTAACACCTCTTTGTGAACAGTAATTGATAGTTTTATTAGATGACACACTTGTGGTTCTTGTGAACTTACAGTGACTTTGCTGCTACAAGTGTGCAATGTCCTTGTTACCCTGTTGGTTTTCCAAATGCTTCCTCTGTGCTGACATTTAGATTGGATATGAAGGCATCCCTTGGAATGTAATTAAAAGACGTATTTCAAGCTTTTGTAGATAAAAATATATAGATAAGAGTCTATAGAGGAGGGTTTGTGCATCTGTGGCTTGCCCCTTTGCCAGGGATCAGGCATGGCTGAGTGGCTTTAGCTGATGACGACTGCAGGATGTGATTTCCTGGGCTGCCCTCCCTGGTTGAGAAAAAGTAATGGAATTTACTGGCAAGGGATACCTTGTCTCAGAGATATTTTTCTATGACTCTTTGAAATGAGCTTCCCAACCTTATTTCCTGAGCATTGTCTAGACCTTCCTGGAGAACGATAAGCTGGCTAAATGTTAGAATTCACTGACTTTCTTGGCTGAGATGCATTAAAAAAAACCAAAACAAGACAACTCAGCTGCCAGTTGGACATGATAAAAATGTGAAAAATTTTTGGACAAACAAAGTGCCTTGTAACAGCAGTATTAGAATTCTGGCTTTACAGGTTTAGTATTTCCATTTCTTAATTAGAAACACTCATTAAATAAACCACAAAAACCACCTGTAATTACTGCAAATCTTAGATTCACAGCCTTGCTAATAACTCAAAGCAGATGGAAAAAAATGTAGTATAAAGACATTATAGAGCAAGAGATATTTCTGCCTTAGCAGAGAAAGATTTTCAGCTAGGGGTGCTGTAAGACAGATAGGTTTGTACATTTTCTTAGGAGATTGAAACCTTTCTCTTATGTGTACAGATATCCATTTCAGAAAGTACTGTCTCTGTTGGTTTTAACGTTGTTGGGCTATTAAAGGGAAAATTATACAATGAAAAAGCAAAAGACCATAGAAAGGCCCCAAATTCTTCTACTTATAGCTAGAATGTTTTGCCTAGTAGGATTAGAAAAATCAGTGAAAGCTGCAGGTCTCTGCTCTAATTAGCATTCTTGAAAATGAATTTATAGGTATGATCAAGTAAGTGACCTGTCTGTGGATAAAAGATGGATGTTACTGATATAATTTCTGATGGATAATTTCTGACAGGGAGCCCCAAGCCAGTGAGGTCCAGGTTGCCTTATTTTCTCCAGATCTAAAAGGTGTTACAAGAACAAACTTGTATTAGTAGGGAGACAGATCAGATAACCTGATCCATCTTATCATGTTTCAGTGCTGTAATGCTTCCCTTGGGTCGCTGCTGCAGCATAATGAGCTTTTCCTCAGCCCCAGACAGTGTTGAGGGACACATCCAGCAAGCAGGTGGCAAGTCCACCTTCCTAAATGATTGTGTGCTTGCTAATGTTAGTCATAATTGCATGGCTTCATAAATTGCAACCTTACTAATGATGGATTTAGGGACAGAATGTCCAGAAAGGAGGTGTTATTTAGATATTCCAGACCAGGCATCATGTCAACAAATTATTACTGCAACTTATTGCCTACCAGTTCACCTGCAGGAGAGTTCATGCAACTAACTCAGGGGTTTTATTTCTAAAAATATAAAGCTAATGTCATCTTTTCTTCTAAATCATTCTAAAGCATCTCCTGACTAGTGTGATAAATTGGAAATAGATGGTATTTACTGGAAAGGGAATAAGAGAAAGTTCAGGCAGTACAGGACAGAGTGTGCACTGACTGATTGAATCCAGTGCATTACAAATTCTGCAGAAATCAGAGGCATTTTAGGACAACGTCTTTTTGCAAGTGAAATTAATGTGTAGGAATGACATATTGTGCAATCATTGGGATACTTCCTGACAGAAGTTACACAGTCCTTGGCATTTAATACAAGAGTACCAGTTCAGATGTTTCCTGACCTGCTGGACTGAGCTGCAGATGAATTTTTTTTTTTCATGAAACTCCCTCAAAATGGTTTGACCTCCAAAAGCAAAGGACTCCAGTTAAGGCAGATTTTCCTTTCCATACAGAGTTTAACCTAAGCTGCAAAATAAAGGTTTTGCTCTCCAGACTTGACAAAATTGCTGATGTAGTCCTTCCTTTAGCTGAACAGCCTGAGGTTTTAACAAATCTTAGTCTTTGCCTTTTGGTGCTGGTGAGTAACGAGGATGAGGCACTAGTTAATAACTTCTCAAACACTTATTTTGAAAAATCATTAGGCTTTCTAGCATTTTAAGGGATCTCAAATAATGTGATGCTGTCACTGCAATTCAACTTGCTGGTTTCTCAGTTAAGCAGTAACTCATCTGAGTTATCAAGGCTACTTGATCCTCTTTAAAATTGCTTATTTGTGTTCTCCTTCGGTAGTGAACTCAAACTCATATTGTTATTTCAATTTGGTGTAAATCTTCTGTAATTTTAGGGGTGTTCTTTTGAAATAATCTAAATCTTATGGTATGTGCTTAGGAAAGAGCTCTGACTATAACACAGACAGCAAATTCAGACTGCTCATTTACAAACCTCTTTATTCACTGGATGTGTCACAGCATCAGCACCTTCATTAGCCACATGAATTTTAACAAAATTCAAAAGATTCAGATGATAGTTTAATGGCAAAAAGGGAGTTTAGGCTTCCATTCAAACCTCTGCACATTTTGATTTGGCTCAGTTGACACATGCCTACACTGGTGTATCAGAGTGAGGGTAGGAAAAGACTGTATTTGGACTTCTTTCAGTGAAGGATTAAGCAGTGTGTATAATCGTGTTATTTCTTTACTCTCTTTATTCCATCCCCCTTTTCCTCAGCTAAAGGACTTTTGTGTCTTCCTGACAGCACTACATTTGCAAAGATCCCACTGACAGGCAGAACAATGGCATTTTACCTATTACTTCCCACATGTGGCATTCCCAGGAAATAATTATATGGAAATAGATACCTTTGTGGACTGGAGCCATGAAGGGCAGTGAGAAATTGGGCCAGCCAGTACCTGTCACGCTGATTCACTCCTCTTATTGTTTCCTTGTACTTTCTCATCCACTTGTACTTTTTTCACTCTTAGGAATGCATTCCTGGGGGAGGGACTGTCAGCCTGTTCTGCACATGACCAGTTCTAACTTACTTTTCAGATCGAAAAGAATATTTCTTTGTCATTGTCTATTAGAACTTGGAGAGTTTAGGATGAGTTGGAGGCCTCAGAAGAGGAGATTTCACTGATTTCCCACTTTAATAGGAAATCATACACATTGCATTTTTTAAATTTGCTTTTTTTTTTTGCCACTATTAACTTTGTGCTGGAATAGGTTTTTCTTAAAGCTCTGTGGACTGTGCTTAGGTAGTGTCCAGTACAGTGTGGCTCTTGTCCACAGCTTGGTCTCACTGGCACGTCCAGCCTGAGGGATGAGAAGCTCCCTCAACTTCCCTGAAGAACAGCCTGGTAAAGTCAGAGGACTGAAAATGATGCAAAATAATTGATGGCCAGTGAGAGGAAAATTAATTTCATTTTAATTCCATTCATGAGGCACCTGTGAGACAGAATTACCTTCAATCTTTGGAGAATTGTAGATACTTTCTTTTACTAAAGTGGGGGTTCTATCCATAATCTAAGACTTAAATCCTCACCCTAAAGTTAAAATAATTGTTGAGAAAGTCCCCATGGTGATTATGCTGCAAGACTGACCATGTGAAAACACACAGGGAGGACACCAGAGCATCCTAAGCTTGTTCCCATAGTGATACTCTGAAGGGAGAGTTTTCAGTCAGTCCATACATGGCAACCTGAGGAACTCAACACTGGAATGTTTTACTCAAGAGTTGTGTCATGGCATTCCAAACTTTGCATTTCACATCCACACCCTCTCCAAAGGAAGGGGGGAAATAGCTGACTTGGAGGCTCCAGGCCATCCCTCTGCAGTTTGCAAAAAGGAAAAAGAAGGAGAAGTGGCACTTCAGTTGTGTCTTTGCTACTGCCCGTTCAGAAACAGAAGTTCACAGGGGTACTACGGAACTGGAATATTTCCCCAGGGACAACAGGCAGAGCAGGGACAAGAGAGGGAGGAAAGCAGCTGCCTGATGCAGTCACTGTATTCCCACTTGCATTCAGAAGGTCTGGAGGCACTGCATCTGCTTGATTCTCCTGGACTTCCTTAATTTTGTCTGACCCTTGCACAAGGCACAGCTTTGAGTCACAGCTGAGCACAAGGAATCCTCAAACCACCAGAGAACTCTGCTATAGATTAATAGTTTGAGAAGCTGCTGTAATTTGTCCTGTCAAAGTAATCTTTGTATCACACCTCACTCCTTGAAGAGTGTTACTTCTATTGACGAGTCAGTGGTTAAAAAGTTATATAAATAAATAATAGAACAACCTTATCCATCATATGCAATGTCTCAATTGGCTTTTTGGCCTCAGGGAAATGTGTGAGCAAGTGGCCAGAACACCTCAATTCACAGTTGTGCACACAGATCACCGGGACTGCAGGTCACAGCTTCAAGGATGTGATTACACATCACAGCTCAAGTGGTGGGTTATGAAACTTCATCATGGGATTTCAGGTAGATTGGCTTAGAAATCTTCCTCAACTTTTCCTGGTGTCGCAACGTACGACCTTGTTTGTGGGCGAGACCCATAGGAGGCAGATGGATCTGGAAAAGAAAATCCCACCAGTTAGGAGCAAACTGGGAAGAAAAAGGCAGCTTATATACAGACTAGATGTCACTGAGATTTAAATAATTTCTTCACACTTTGGAGAGGGCATTGTCTAAAGCCATGTTATTAGATTTCTAGGAGGAGCACTGTCTAAGGAGGAATTAGTGATATAAGTTTCAGGCCCTAAATGTGATGTTTATTAAAATCCTATGTTTTAGACCTTAGTAACCTTGTTTTGCAGTTTGATATCAGACTGTAACGATAAAATACTTGTTGAAATAGGACTGCTGACAATGTTCCAGGACAGTAAGACCTAGATAATCCTAAAAATTCCTGAGTAGATGTCTTGAAGCACTGCGTGATTTATTCATACCTACTTAAGAAGTCACAAAATAACCCCAAAACTGTACGTATTGAAAGCCTGCCTTCTTCTTGTCGTGATTATGTGTGCCACGTTAAAATGCACAATCAGTGTCATTGACTCCAAAGCTGAAGGAGCAATAGGTGACAGGCTCTTCCTTTGATTGACAAAGTCTTTGTATTTCATAAGACTCTCCGTGGGAGTCGTGCAGCTGTAACCCCCCGAAGTGACTGGAAAACGGAGGTGGTAGCAGTCAGATGTTATTGTTGCTGAGCCTGTCAGGCTGTAAGGTGGCTGTTTAGGTGCAAATAGTAGTAAAAGCACTGACTAGAGCAGGAGTAGAGATTTCTGGAATCTGAAAAATAATAATCATCCCGTTTGTCTGAGAGAGCCGATCCTTTGGGGTTTTGAAACCACTGTAGAGAACACGTTTTAGGCCCATTTCTAGGAACACTGTTTGCCAGGTGTGCACTGTAATTCTGTACACTGAAAGAGATGCTGACAGTGATCATATTTTAGGCAAGAATCTGATGAAGATACAATTTGCTTTGACTGTGACTGCCTTGATAAGGGAACTGTAGATGTGAAAATATAAACTAATTAACAGGAGCAGAGAGGAAGTCTCTAGGGGAGGCAGCATAAAGTACTACAGACAAGAGTGACTGGGCAGGGAGGAAACTGTATTGAGTGGTGCAATAGGAGACACTGCTGCAACTTCCAGCATTTCAGTGATCTTGGATATGTTTTTCTCTAGGAAGAAGGGAAAAGAAGCAGCAACATAGACAAGTGTTTCCATAGGACTTGATTTATGACCAGTAATGTAGGCTATGAAAATTATTGTATCTAGGGCAGATGTAATTAAGTATTATTATTCTCTCATTCTTGTTTATTATTTGATTCCATTACCATCTTTTTCTACATCCTTTGGTCAGACAAGACTGGCTAAATATTCACAGGCCTCAAGAGTTTGGCTCACACAGTTCCATTTAGGCTTTGACTCCTTATTTTGAGAAGAAACCTGCCAGTTTACAGTGAAAGCAGATAGATGGAGAAGGTTTCAATGTACACTTGGCTCTGATTTAGCACACATTTAAATGCCAGCTCATCTGAAGATGCAGTGCAGTGACAGTGATGTAAACTCATGGTTTCATCGTGCAGGGAGAGCTCAGTGGGTAACGCTGAAGAGTTTGTGACTGGATTTGTACTCACAGGTCTCGGGTAGGGGATGTTATAGTGAAGTCCAATTTCTATTCTTGCCTCACATTCTTCTATGCACTGCTCAATCAGCTTTGGATCTGTTACCTAAGATCACACAAACAAAGGTTTTGTACAAGTTCAGCAATTAACACTTGGAAGCTCAAGTGTAAATGATGCACAGCCACGTGACTTTCTGTAGCTTGTTCTGGCAATCCCAAGGATACAAGGACTGTATTTTTCACATCCATAAAAGGTAACATCAGAATTCTCCTTGACTCAACAGCTCTGGGCAAGATGGCACTGGATGTTAAGGCCCAGAGGCTGTCAGGACTGAGGCTAAAGGAGGAGTTTTTTATCCAAACATGGCATTTTCTCTGTAAAAAGACAATACACATTTAAACTACTAATACATCTATGAAAGAGCCACGCTCACCCATCCGTCACTCTGTGAGGTAGCTTGAGGAGAAAGGAAAGACACTCCTTGGTGCACATTCTCTTATCATCCTACCCAGAAATTCCCTTTGAAGTCAGAAATGTGGTGTAAATTATGACTTAAATTAATTTTTTGACTTTGCATTACTTCAATTTAGTCCCAGACCAATATGGGCTATAAATAAATATTGTGATCTTGAATTACAAGAAGGACCTTTGATTACCATGGAGTCTGCATCGACTCTTTGAAAAGGGGTTTGAAATTTCTTTCTTAAGAAAAAAATTAAAGTGCTTCTTTTAAAAGAAGTGCCAATAATTGCTGCTTTGAAAAGGAAAAAAGAAGCTGCTGAGCTCTGTTTGCCATTGCATGGGTAATGATACACTTAGCTAACTTTGTAAAGATCAAAAGCTGTTTCAATTACACAGGCAGTATCTTTGGAATTAATTTTTTCTTGGCACTTTTTTAGTGAAAAAAGACCTTTTAAATTCTACAGCAGTTAACGAAGAGCTGAAATGGTTTGACTTTTCTCAAGGATGAAATTTAAATTATAACCCAAATACACCCAAAGCATTTAAGGTGAATAAAATGTTGGGAACTCATATTCGTATCTTAGCATCCAATCCCTCAGACAGCGCAAAGAGCAAGAGGAAAGAAGCAAAGAGCAAGAAATTCCAAACTGCAAGGACACTCACATGTTTGTTTTTTCGGAATAATGTTCTGGCCTCATTTTTAATGTACTCTTTCTCTTTCATAGTCTCCTCTGTCTGTCCTGATGCCGATTGCCATTTTTTGGCTATTTGGAATATCTTGCGGTAAAGGCCGAGAACTTTTTGTCGAGTCGCTGGGGTCATCTGGAAAAGACAACACAACCCCCCAAACATATGCATGAACATTTGAGTTGCTAACAGGCCAGCAAGCAGTGCGTGTTTTCACACCACTGAATTAGTTTAAAAATATTTCCATCGTCTAAAAATACGCTGAGCCGTATGAAAAAAAACCTGAAATAGCTGTAAACAATAATTAGCTGTTGACAGCTGAAGACCCAGTCCAGCAAAGTCTTTAAACTGATACTTAAATCTGTCTCCATTCAAACAGCTTGAGCTCCTGCTCAAAGTTAAGCACCTGGTTTAGTGCTCTGCTGAATCACAAGCCTGGTACAAGAATGCCTGGGTTCTGTTTCACTGCTGTTATGCAACAGACATTGGGTAAGTCACCAAAACTCTGAATGTTCCCCTTCCTGAGACGTTGTTGTACCAATGCTGACCCTATCTTTGCAAAGCATCTTGAAATCTGTGAATGAGATACGTGATAAACCCACCACGATGTTGCTGAAAACCTGGGCAGGCTTCATGGGCTGAGCAGCTTTGTTTGTGGCACTGTGACAGTAGGCAGTAATGATTCAGCTGGAGTTTGATGTGATGAAAAGGTGATGAAAGCTATTTTATCTAAGCACTGCAGGACAGGCAGACTAACTGTGGATTTAGGAAAGTCCTGAATGCCTTGATTTTCAGCGAGCTCTGTACCTGCTGAGCCCACTGAATCAGCCTCCAGGTGTGATAAGAATATTTGTCAGAAGAGAATGAAATCCTATTCTTGTTTGATGTAATTGAGTATTTTATCATATAAATGGTTATGCTATTTCATGCTGGACCACAGATATCCCTGAGATAAATCCACTTCTGATAACAACATTTCTGACATGGATTAAGTTAACAGAAAAAATGACTTCTGCTTTTGGGGCAACCCAACCATCAAAGGCACTTTACTGTCCCAAAGGAAGATGCAGCAGCACTCCCAAGTAAGGGTATGGATGCAACGAGGAACAAGTGTCAGGGACAGGACACCATCTGACTGTCTCAGGATCCATTTGCCAACCTGGAGCTCTAATTACTGTGGCTGAATCTACCCTGAAATCAGACCTGTGTGCTGGGAATGGCTCCTCCAGAGGCCAGTTTGGAGCAGGGTAATTCAGACAGCCTGAGCTGCCCTCTGGAAGGAGTGCTCCTTCCCTCTTTTCCTCCCACATGAGGAAAAGTTGCTTTCTAATGCACTCACCCAAACTACTGTGGGAAGTGTGGCAATGTGCTGTCATCCACCTCTTTGCAGTCTGTGGTAATTCCTGTTTTTCTGGGTTGTGGAAGAGGGGCTTGAGCCAAAGTCTTCCCAGGCTATTCCATTCTCAAGTGGCTGCCTCTGCCACAGTGACTGAGCAGAACAGGCAGAGTTGGAATTACTGATACTAACCTGAAGACAGGATTTGGCCCATAGTTCTTTATTGTAAAAAATCCCAAACTGTTAGATCCTAGCCTTGTCTTAACTGTTGTTATGATCTGAAGACTTCCATGGTTTCATGAACTCTGTTTTTCTCTGGTGCGTAAGAGACAACAATTTTATTTTGCTATTTGCATTTTAACATGTTTAGCTAATCATATTTTTTTCCCCCAGATGGAAAATTGTTCTTCCTACCCAGCAGAAAGTATTTCTAGTAAATGTTTATGATATTTCTAGGAAACAAATATCCACAATAATATAACCAGGTAGTCCCAGCTCATCAGACACTCTGGAGTAAGTGCTTCAATTTATCCACTCTACAGCTCCACTTCAGGCAATGAAATTGGTCAGGCACAAAGCCACGGATGAACATATATCTGAAAAATCACTGCTTACCCCTGCCCCATGCATATTTTGTACAGAAAACAAACAGTTCAGTTACAAGGGCTGACCAAGCACAAGCTGAGCCCCAAATCCTGGCCTGGCCTAGAGCCCCTCCTGGCCTCACCCCTCTGCTTTTATCTGAAGGTGTCACCTTTGTGGAGCTGATAATACTCTTTGTTCCCTGCTGACAGCTCATAAAAGGCAGTACTGTGCTAGAAACTTTCACCTTAGGTTCTCATGTAATCCCTAAAGAAAACAAGAGGAACAATGTTAGGGGAAAAAATGTTCAAAATGCAGGTTTCAGTTCTGATCTACACAGAGCATTTCCAAGGCCACAGCTTGGGACAGCACAAGCCCTCTGTTCAGAGCTGATCACACCTTCTGCTCTTGGATTTTAAACGTACCAAGAATCTCTTTATAAAGTTTAGAACCAACATTTTTTTTCCCCTGCTAGTTGTTCCACTCCCCCATCTAGAACTTATTCTTTCATTCTTTAACTTCTTTGTGTTGGAATTGCTACAGGACTGTGTAGCCCCTAGTCTAGGCATGGGCTGCACTTCTGCATTCTTGCTCTCCTTCCCACATATGCTGGATGATATAAAAGACATTAAGCAGCTATTCATGTACACTCAGAAACCAGCTGCTCCCAGGGCTGATTTAGTTGTCAATTTCTAACAACACAGACCTGCTCAAAAGCCATTTCTGCAAAGGTACATAAATGTAGGTGTGAGGAGCCCTTTACAGATTGAGGACCCTTGTCTGTCATAGGAAAGGATGAGAGCAAATAAGACAAAATTCAAAGCCTGGGTCAGATTCTGATCTGAGTGGGAGTATAAATAGAGAATAATTCCACTGAGAACAGAATTACTTCCAACTTGAAATGTTGTAAATGAGATTGGAATTTTTTCTTTGGTATAAACAGAGCCCACACTGACAGAAACGTAAGTGACGGTACAAGTCATGTATCAGGTGTAATTTCATCAAGTGACACTACTTTTATTAGTTTTGTGGGTGTGCAAAATGATTCTGAGTGGGACAGAAAGGAAGATAAGGAAGGCTTTCATGTCCTTGTAGTTACTCATCCTGCAACTTACATCTCTGGCATTTAAATCATAATTATATTTCACATCTCTGGAATGCTAAATGGATGTTACACCACTTTCCCACTAACACCCATCTTGTGGTAGTCACACCCATTGTTTAACTTCTACCACCCTTCATTTTATTGCAGAAGGCAGCCCACAGAGGTTAACCACAGGCGTTTCTGTCAGAAAGTACAGGGCTATTGTACTAGCTGAGCAAATTTCGGGTGTTTGCTGCCACAAAACAAACCAGGAGAGGTCAAAGGTAAGGTGTGTGGGCACAGATGTGTCACTGGGAAAAGCGGGAATCTGCAGCTGGTTTGGAGCCCCCTGTCAGAATCCGGGCTTTGGAAGGAAGCCAGGCATTGCCTTCCAAACAGGCCGGGCTGGATGCTGGGCAGAGCCCTACAGCAGGGCTGTATCGCCCTGGGATCTGCATACAAACCCCCTTATCAACAGCACATCAAGCACCTGAGACATCCCATTGTATCCCAACTCGCAACGGAGATCTGAGCAGTTAATGAGTTACTGCCTGGTGAAGATGCAAACTTTTCTCACTGTTAATTAAAACAAATGACACTTAGACTATAAAATGCCCTGAGTTTTTCATTCAGGAAACAGATAAACGTTCCTTTGGATTTTTAGATGGTTGACCCAAAAGTTCAGTAACCTGAATAATCAGTGAAACATCAGTCTTCTTTTGCTATTCGCAGGCTTGTTTAGAATTTAAAAGTTTAGATAAAAGTAACAAAAGGAATCTGTCAGCTGCACTGTGAAATGACCCCAGTAGTGCAGTATCAAAGCAGAGCCAGGACTGAAGTCAGGCTGCACCGAGCCTGACCACAGATGTGCAGGCAGCTCAATCCCACCTGCTTCCCAGTGAGGGATGCCTGGCTCCCAACGCCTGTCCAGCACCCTCCTGCTCTCTGCACAGTGCCTTTGCTGAAGTTTGAAGCCTATTTTATTTATCCCTTTCTTCTCAAGTCAAGCATTAGCTACTCACTTTAAACATAAAATCTGCCAGCAGTGAGTACATAGAGGATTTTTGAAAACAACAGGTGAAAGTAATGGCCCGTGGGGAAAAAAAAAAGGATCTTTTAAAACAACAGATCTCTTACTTTACATGCCAGCTAACTGGGGCACGTGTTAGTAATGCACACGTTGTGCTGGTACTGAGAAACTGTTTGCTCAGGGGAGGAGATGGTGGGGAAAAGAACTCTGCATGAAATAATTTGAGAAGGCTGCTTTGAACTTCTCAGATGTAAAATGTTTTATTTAGGAGCAACACACCTTTTCCTTGACAGCTGGCTTGCTACCGGCAAGGAGTCCTGAAGGCACAGTGACAAACTGCTGGGCTGACTGCCTTCCAAATCAAGCTGTGGTCACATCCTTGTGATGGGAATAAATGACAGAACACCATCATGTTCCATACAGTGTGTCCCTATGACAGACCAGCCTGTATGAACATCTACAGCCCCTCTTTGCTAATGTTTATTTAAAGAGATGCACAAAAATGCACATATCTGGCCTTTTTTTCTAAGAGCTAAACAATACCACTTAGCTAAAGGGTGACCTGCAGTCTCTCTCCCGCTGCTAATGCAGCAGATAATCAATCATTCCTTCCCCAGCTCTCCACAGCAACGAGAGGTCAGTAATCCATATTCATCTTTCCTGCAAGTCTGCCAAAATGAGTCTTTGGTTCCTAAGGCAGCCGTGGCTTTGGTCTGTCGGTTCCTCGAGGGGCAGCAAGTGAGACAATGAGTTCCTGTGGCACAGAGCCAAGAGGAGGGGTCACAGATTCCTGTGAGAGCTGGGCAGCTCATGTGCCTTCCAGCAGTACTAAGTTTCAGAAATCCGTTTCCACAAAAGTAATGTTGAGTTCTTTTTTGCTCAAATCAAGGACTTGGTGGCCTGTGACAGCTGGCACCCTGCAAACGCCGACCACACAGGGCTGCAGGATGTGCCTGGCAAAGTGAACACTCCATCTGATTGTCATTCTTGATTGAACATTCATACCTTTTTTTTTTTAGGATTCAGCCAAAACCAAATCATAGTGAAACTTCAATCACAGCTTAAGTATTCCATCTCCACATGGTGAAAAACAGACTAGAATGAAAGATCATATTCTTCCATAATGGTGTCACATTTCTACCAGTGACAGAAGCCTGTAAATTTCAAGATATTCCCATCAAGGATTAATTTGACTCAGTTCTCGCTGTTTCCATCCACAAGCTGCAATCAGAAATCTATGCATCTTCAGTGAAGAAGAATGAAGTTACTGAATCAATTTATTCAGTAAGGGTATCTGAAAGCAGGGTGACTTTCACAGGGTTTCTGCTGGCAAACTGATCTGAAACTCTGATCTGAAACCCCAACCAACACCTCTGAACCAGCCTCTCTAAGTCATTGAAGTCACACTGTTCATCAGCTGGGATAAGAACTCTGCCATTCTATCTGTGCCTCAGATTTCTGACTGAACTTGGATCTCTTTTAAGCTTTCTCTTACATATGGAGCAGTCTTTTGATCAGAAAAAGCAACTGCATGTAAAGAGAATATAATTAAATAGTAAAAGCAGGGACATGGATTTTATCACTGGTTTCCCGTATCATTTTAAATAAGCCAATTTGCAGAAAATTAGGATTCTACAACATTCTTTTAATCTGAAGAAATGAAAGTCTAGTCCCTTTTGATCAGAGTTTTCATTCTTTTAGTCTGAGGTGGTCGAGGCATTATCTGGTTTTAGTAGGACATAGAGACTCTTTCCCTGGGAGTGCCTCCCATGCCATAGGAGCCTGAGGAAGACAAGAAATGCTGACTTACACTTTGGAGAGGGGGAAGGGAAACAAATTGCTTTACTTATTTCTTAGCGTTCTCACAAAAAGCACACAGCATCCAGGTAAACTCTCAAGCAACATGAACTTGTCTCTTGTCCAGCTGTCACTCATGTTTTCACACAGTTAGAATGGTTTTCTCCTCCTTTGTTAGTTCTCAATTACTTACAAGCAGTGAAAGAGGTTTTAATGCAGTGTGAGAAATACAGCAGAGAAAATGAAGTCTCAGCTATCCTTGGATGGCCTTGCTTATATAATATAGAAGCCTACAGAAATATAACAACGTGGACACAAACCCCAGTATAGATTTATGCACCTTATTCATACCTTGGCTTCCAGCCAACTGCAACTGAATGCATGAATAGAAATTATTTCCCAGCTTGGAAACACTCCCAAGCTTGAGAACAGGTATAAGTATTAAGGCCAGCAGAGACACAAGCCTCCCTGCCCCTTTTCTTACTTCGTTCTGACGGGTTACTCAGTAAAACTCATTAATACCCATTGATAGACATGACTTTCAGTCACTATTTGAGAACCATAGCAGGGCTGTGGGCGCTGAGGGCTGTGGGGAACAGAATCACTGAATCAAAGAGCTCTGAGATCATCGATTCCAGTCTGTGACCGAACATGACCACGTCAGCCGGACCATGGCACCGAGCGCTACATCCAGTCTTTCCTTGGACACCTCCAGGAACCGTGACTGCACCACCTCCATGGGCAGCCCCTTCCAGTGTCTAATCCCTCTTTATGTGCAGAAATTCTTCCTAATGTCCAACCTAAACCTCTCCTGGCACAACTTAAGACTACGTCCTCTTGTCCTGTTGGCACTGAACGCTGTGGGCACCGAGGTCTGCGGGCACCGAGGTCTGTGGGCACTGAAGGCTGTGGGCTCTGAATGCTTATGGCACCGAGGTCTGTGGGCATTGAAGGCTGAGGGCTCTGAATGCTTAGGGCACCGAGGTCTGTGGGCACTGACCGCTGTGGGCACTGAGCGCTCTGGGCACGGAGCGCTGCCCGCCCCGGGCGCCCCCTCAGCCGCCGCCCCCGCCAAGATGGCGCTCCGCCCGCACCGCGGCCCGGAGCCGCGCGGCCGCTGGGGGGCGCTGCAGGCGCGGGCTCCCTTGCGCCCCCCGGCGGCCGGGGCGGCCCAGCCCCCGCAGCCGGGCGGAACCAACGCGCGAAGCGCGGGGGGACCGTGTGTCAGCCCACCCCAGGCACCCCCAACCCCTCCCCTCCCTCCGCGCTCTCGGCATATCCTCCCCCGTCCCCGCTGTACCTTGGGGCAGCCGCGCCTCGGCCCCGCCCCCGCCGGGTCCCGCCGCGCTCCGGTGGGCGCCTGCCCTGCCCTGCCCTCACCGTGCGTGCGGCGTCGCCGCGCACGCCCCCCGGCGTCACGTGCCGTGACGTCACGGCGCGTCCGCCAGCTGAGCGCTGTCCCGGAAGTGATGCGGCGGAGGCAGAGCCGGCCGGACCGCCGAGGTGAGCGGGGAGCGTGCGGGAGCGAGCGGGGCCGGCCGCGGCTCTGCCCGCACCCGCCGGCAGCGCGGGGCGAGGGCGGCAGGGCGGGGCTCGGCGCGGCGCGGGCGGCGGCGCTCGGCCAGGGCCGCCGCGCTGCCCCTCAGCCTCGCGGGCGGCCGGTTGGGCTCGGGGGGGGCCCCGCGGCGCCGCCGCCCCCTCACGGCGGGGCCCCCCCCGAGCCGCAGCCCCGCGGGAGCGCCGTGTCCGCCGCGGCGGGGCCGCCCGGTGCCGCGGGCGGGGCGGTCCCGGCGGGCGCTGCCCCGGAGGTGCCGGCGGGTCCGGGAGCGCTCGGTGCCGCCGGGCCCGCCCCGCGCCCATCCCCTGCCCCGGCGGCGGTGCCGCCTCGCCCCGCCGGGTGGGTCCCCTGGGTTGCTGTGTCCCCGTGGGCGCCGCTCGCACGCCGGCGGTGCGGGGGCCCCGCAGCCCCCGGGCCGGGCAGCGGCCGCTTTGTTCGGGTGCGCTCCGTGGCCGGCCCGCACACGTGTCCCGCCGGAACGGGAACGTTCGTGGTGTTTTCAGGGGAAAGGCAGGGGAATAAACTGCGAAGCGATTTATTTCCGAGGTGGTTCTGGCAATCTGAGCATCCCCCCTCCCTTTGCACAGCCACTTTTCCTCCTGCCTGAGCTCTCCCCCTCCCCCGAGCGTGTTTACCCCGCAGTCTGCGCTCATCGCTCTCTCGCCGGGGCTGTGGTGGGACTAATAAGCTGCTGGTAACAACATAAATTATAACCTGCATAATCAGTGTTTCAAGCAAATATTGGTTGAAAGAATGTGCCTTTCCTATCAGTGCTGTGGTTGCTGGAAAGAATCATTGATTATCTTTTAAATAGTTAACACTGCTGATATGCTGCCCTTCAAAATGTTACATTGATAACTGAACAGGCTGATGCCAAGTGTCAGGATACAGCATTGATCCACAGCTGGTAACTTTTTTCGAATGGTAATGCCTGCCACATAATTTAAAGGGGTAATAAGCACTCTGTAAAAAAGGGGCTATGAGTGTACAAACAGAAGGCACAGAACTGCCCTACCTTTCTGAAAATTACTGACCTCACTGGCATGGTCTGTCTCCTTTTGGGAGATTGGTTGATCAAAAGACTGACCATCTAGGCAAATTCTTATTATCTGTTTAAGAACCTCTTTGTTAAACAGTTAATGTGTAACTCCAGCATGAGTGTTTTGTTTGGGCTGTAGCAATGGAAAGAGAGAGTGTCTGAGTACTGGTGTCTTTGGAGCACCTCTGAACACTGCTGCTTGTTTCCTTGGTGAAAGATAATCCTCAGAAAAGGAAACACAGTCCCTCAGTGAAGGTTGCATGTGAAAGAAAGAGGTCTGACCTCGTGTTCTTGTCAGTTCTGTAGCCTGTCCCTGAAGTCCTCCCCACACAGATGTGTCGTGGTGGTCTGTGGAAAACATTCACAGCCCTTCACGTGAAAGGCAACTCACAGTCTAAAGCAAAGGTTTTCTGACATCAGCAGAAAAACTAGAGCTTGTGATCTGTGTTGAATTAGTTCAGATTTGCAAAGTGCAATTGGCTTTATGAACTTGCTGCAAATACCAGCTCTGTAGTGATTTTCTAAAATTCTGATTATTTCCTAATAGCAAGTTGTGTGCAGGCACGAGTGACTGTAATCCTTAAAAAATGTCACAAAGCTATCAATGGGGGAACTTACAGCTTTGGTAATACTCGGCTGCTCAAAGTGATGCTTTTGAAATTGCTTTCATCTTGACACTGACAGCCTGCAATGTGAGCTGTAATCAGCTTCTGGATCTTTAAGGATGGGTTAGGTGCCTTCTCTGCACAGTTTCTTGCTTTATTTTGAAGGTGGATGTTGTTTTGTTCATAGCAAATTCCAGCCGATTTGTGTCAGTAGCTCTCATAACTTGCTGATCTTGGAAATTCATTCATAATTGCATCTTGCTTCCCTTTAGCATGAATTGTATGGAAAAAAGGTGATCAGAGGAAGGAGTGGCTTCGAGAGGAAACCAAGAACAGCTCTTTTGGAAGACTGTCATTGAAACTAATTAAAGAAGTATATATTGAGCAAGAAAGGCTGCCAGACAGTTTGACAGACTTCTGAGACAAAGAGACTTGTTCTGACAAATTCGTGAGTGGATGAGGAAGAGGCTTGGTTCTGCTGCTCGCTGGGGTTCAGCTTAAGGGAGAGAAAGAAATCCTGTGTGTTGTGTGTCTGTGTACAGGGGCAGATGGAAAGGGGATGGACAGAAGGGCAGACAGGACTCTGCTGCACTCGCACTTCCTGGTGGCAGAAAGGGATGTACAGGTGGTTTGGATGGAAAGAGACGCACAGTTGTGGGTTGGCAGGAGAGCCCCAGCACTGCTGAGAGCTGAACCACTTGGTTCTCTTTATTGGTGCTGGGGAAGTGTTGCTAAATTTAATTTAGAGCTTTGGAGGACTGTAAAGTCCATCGTGGTGGGATTTCAGCAGTTTGGAAGAACTTGCAAACTGCAGAAACAACGTTATTGTTTCATTAGGCACATGGGTCTGTGCTAGTGAATGTAACAGGAAAACTCTGAGTAAGAAGAGACTACAAAAATAAAGGCATGGGATGTTAGAAAGACAGTCCTTTCTTTCATCCTTGTAATTAATAATACAGAAGGAGCTGAAAATTGTAACCTGAATTCTTGGAAGACTGAAAGAACAATCTGTAAACACTTGAGGGACTTGGTAGTCGCAGGAAGATAAGAGGGAACCCCCTTAACAACTTCATCAGAATTCCCTGGCTGGGCTCCTTCTCTCTGGCTGCTTCTCCCTAGGGGTCTGCATCTTATCTCGCTGGCTTCCTTTCCTCTATTTGCCTCTGACTAATAGGCTTTGTATTCTGGTTACTGGAAGTCTAATAATTTCTTTTGTCTCTTCCCCCTTCCTCCTTTTTAAAAATACTAGATTAATGGCTGTAATGTTTTGCAGACTATCTGCATTGGTGACATGGATTAATTGTATACTTGACTCCAAGTTATTCAGCAGTAATGACATAGTAAGTCGACTTGAAACAATTGTCCTTTCGTGGCAAATGTTCAAGGCAAATGTTGCCTTCTGGTAAAGAGCCACCTGCAATTTACCCCCTGTAAACATATGACACGAGTAAACTGTCTGTGCTGGTTTTCTCGGTGTCCTCTCTACAGTAAGTTGTCTCTAGTGTGTCTTTTGAAACAGTCAGTGATCTATCTTTTCTCCTCCCCCCCTTTCTTTTGACTCCAGCTTGAGTCAGGTAATTACAGATCTGGGTTGGAACCTTCCTGGGGAGTGATCAGAAAGGCCAGGACTTGCCGCATCGCTCACTCACCCCGTGGCTTCCCCCTCCATGGGAGGGGTTTGTGGAACCTCCTGGCTGTTGGTGAGCAAGTGGGAGAGCCCCGGGGGAAGGGGGGTTGGCAAACCCGGGGGGAGCTCTGATTTCCACACGAGTGTTCTTTGTGGTGCCATAAGGAGGTTCTCTTGTGTCACGTGTGGCTGTGGTGTGACAGCGTGGTGATGTCTTTACATTCTGACCTCAGTGCTGACCATAACAGAGCAAGCAGGGGAAGAGAAAGGGAACCAGAGCCTCTTGCCTAAAAAAGATAATGTGAGAACTAACCCATTTAGGTCTCTGTTTTATCCATGTGTCTTGTGGGGCACTCTCCAGTCCAGTGATCTCCATCTTAAAGGAGGCAGAAAATCTGGATTTTAGGTAAAGGTTATTTAAATGCAGTGTTTTGCTATTAGAAGAATGATGGCTGGGGGACTACTTAGCTGCAAGTATTAAAGAACTCTTTCACAGGAGTAGGAATACTGTAGAGAAACAAGCAAAAGCATGGGTGGAGAGACAGAATTCCAGTAAAGGGAATGAGCTAGTGTAATCTTCTGGTGTCTCAGAAAGAATAGTTATAAATGCTGTTCTGTCTACAGCATCTGTTTTGTGAAAGACAAAACTTACTTTGCAAAATGTGAGAATGCTGTTACTGACCTCCTGTCACAGTTTGTTATTCCCAGAAAGTCAGACTGCCAGAGACAGTATGGCAGTCATAGTTGTTTGTTGTCTCACTTTTCTATTTACTGAACAGAAGTGGGGTGTTTTGAACCAAAAGGATTCAGTGCTCCTGAAATACACCAGTCTTATTTTTGCATTCACGTAGTAGCAGAAAGTGACAGTTTTTAGTTCTTACTCTGATTTTTTTTTTAAGGTAATACTTTTCCTCCTGCAGCTTTGAAACTTCTAATGCAGTCAGTCTTATCTTTTTGTTTTAAAACTGAAAGGGAGGGAGAAAAACCATCTTAATGCCTAGGATTATGGGAGGCACATGTAGCTTAGTAAGAGGCTCACAAACACAAATGTCCTGGCTCTTGGTTTTGGTGCTGACTGTTCAATATTTCATTGCCAACGAGTCTGTGCAGAAAGCCTCGAGAATTCTGCATCAGCACATAAATGGGCGGCCTGGAAGTGCCAAAGGCCTGATGTGTACCAGCTTCCTGCAGTTACCTGTGCTTGGAGTTAGTGATTATGTCTCATGAAGCACAGGATAGAGACCTGCACACCTTGTCTCTTGTGAGGCACAGGACATCAAGTGAAACCAAAGATGTGTGAAAACCTACAAAGAAAAGGTGCACGTTGGTGGGAGCTGCCACCAGATTTCTTGAGATGAGAGTCTTTGCTTCAACTGGTGACCAAGGTCAGGTTCTCAAAGGAGCTCCTTTGAGGCATGGAAGTAGTGCAGCATCCTTTGTACAGTGGGAAGGGTTGTTGTTCACTGCAATAGGGAAGTTGGGACACAAATCAGGAGAGAGAACTAGGGCTTCTGCAGGTGGCTGTGTGTACTTTCTGCTTTAAAAACTGTGGTCAGTTTAAAAACCCAAGTGTATGCTCTTAAAGCACTTTCATATGTCAGTGCTTTCACTCAGAACAATTTGTTGTACATAACTTAGATATGATTGCAGTATTTACGTGGTCAGCTGGTACTGAAGTTCCTACACAACTGCAGGCAGTGAGTGATTCTTTTGGCTGGCAGCCTGTAAACTCTGTTACACTTACTGAGATGGCCAGCGGGCCTGCTGTAAACTCCTTAGGAACATCTGCTGCCAGCAGGGATCTGATGAGGTGGTCTGGCTATTGTCTTTAGACTTGTCCCTTCACTGCCTGGAGGCTGTTGGGGTCACGGTCCTCACATCTGCTTTGTGCTGGAGAAGGGACACTGTTACCCAGAGCTGCTGGAAGGGCTTCCCTTTTTTTCTGTGACTGTTGTCTTTATTGCTGAGAGCAGTAAGAAGTATAAGGTTATTCTCTTACTACAGTTAGTTCAAAGCATATCCTAATATTGCAGAAGTCACTTGATATCTACCTGAATTATATTCAGCTGAACATAGTGGATGAAGGTGCCTCAGACACTTCAAGGTGAAGTCTGATATCTGAATCCAGTGTAAAAGAAAATCTGTGCACACTTAGCTCAGTTTAAAAGTAAATGTTTTTTTTTTCCATTGCAGAGTAGTTTGCAGACCAAGGTGGTTTTTCAGAGTTATTCTGGCTTGGCTGCAGATAGTTGCAATTTTCCCTAGATTATTTTGTGGAATGGACGGAACCAGAATAAGGTAAATATTTGTAGCACAGCTACTTTCAGATGCTTGCAGTGAGATGCATCTCTGTCAAATATCTGAGGGCTGTGGTTTCCTTTGGTCCCATAATCTGCAGTTTTGCTGTAGAGATGTGAACTGGTTGTGTCAGAGCACAGAGTAGCTCTGCCCCTGGCATGTGCTGCTTTAATTATTCACAATACAAACCCAAGTGCTAAAGGTCTGTCACACTGTGCAAAAGTTACAGCGTACCCTGGAAAAATACTGAAGGATTATTCTTTTACAACCCTCTGTACATGAAAGGGAAAAACCACACAAACTCTCATTAGAAGATGATTTGGTTTTTTGTACATGCTGGACCTTGAGAGTTGTGTGGCCTTTGAGAAGGATCTTGGGGGAGAGGGGGAAGATTGGTAGTTTTTGAACGAGTGGAGGTGAATTGCTCAGTGACCAAACCTTTGTTTTTTGAAGGTAGTTGAGTTCTGTGCAGTGAAATAAACGAGTTAGTTCATGCCTAAGTGTGTATGAGGTAGGGAATTGGATGGAATCTGATTTGGGTTCTGGTTTCAGCTTTACTGAAAACTGATGGCATGATCTTAAGCAGCTGTGTCGTTTGGCTGTCTTGATTTCCCCTCAGCCCCTTGTCTTGCTCATAGTCTAAACAGACTTCTCAAAACAAGTACTGCTGCTGCATGAATTACTTCATTAATTTATTTACATTACAGAAGCACCTGAAAGCACCCTTCTAAAATTATATTTTGGTTTGCTAACTGGACTCGGGTTTGTTCTTTGAAAATACAATAATCCTAACAAATCATCCCACCCACCTAATAAAGTAAAATGAAGCACGTAATAGGAAAGGATTTAAAACTTTTAATGGGAACAAGTGGAAAAACAATGAGAATTAATCAGTAAGTAAGGTATTGTGTGGTTAGGGAATGTAAAAGAAAGGGAGAGATTCAAGGATGATGCATGTGTCTCCGCTGAAAAAGCTATGTAAGGAATGTGTCTTGCAAAAGAAAATGTAGTAGGGTGCCTTTAGGCTCTCCCTATAATTTTTCATATTATTATTCATTTTTCCTTGTATAATTAGCTGCACACAGTGAACTACAGATCCAAAACATCTGTTCCATTTTTTTCTGAAGACTACTTGTTGGACTTTGAACATGAGATGTGGTGCCATGCTCTGTGTGTTACTCAGGTGCTCTTCAGGAGTGCAGAAAGCAGGTTTCTTCTGCCCAGTCTCTAGGAAGAGATCTGGGATAGCTCTGGTTCTTGGCACTGAGACCTGGCCCAGCATTATGGACTGTAAACGTTGTTTCTGAAAATTTTGGGGATTTTTGTACCTGGCCCTCTCTTCCCTTCCAAATTAGTTAAGCCTTTCCAGTATGGCCTTTCTCAGAGAAGTCTACTTGTCATTTGAGGAGGTTTTCAGGCTTCCATTCCTGGCTTGGCTTTCCCCTAGACTGCCATGTAGCCTTCTGCCAGCTCTGCATGGTCCTGAATTTTACCCAGTTTGATCACATTTCCAAAGCTGGTTTGTTTCCAAAGCTCAAACCGAGGTTACTCAGAAATAGTTACCCTGCTTTGGAACAGATAACAGAGTTCCCATCTATCTGTCCCCAAAATCATAACCTCTCTTCAGGTCACTGAAAGGTGCTTCAACTGCAGGAAGCCTCACAAACTAATAATTAATTTTAACTAATTGCAGCAGGACATTCTTGCTTTTAGACTTCCTCTTCAGTAACTTTGCATAAGTGTATTTGTGCAGCAGAGGTGTCAGGCGGGTTAATGTGACACCTGGTGCTGGGGATGTGCTGAGGTGCCTTCTGGGCTCCCGAAAGCCCCTCACGTGCCATTGTGCTGCCCTCAGAGTGCTTCTGCTGGGAAAGTTCCATTGCAGGTTAAGACTAGAAATAAGCACCGTGCTGGCTCTGCTGGCCAAAGCTTGGTTTGTGCACCAGGTGCTTCGGTGCTGGGGTGCAGAACTCTGAGCTGCACAGGGAGAGCTTCCAGCAGAGCTGATCCTCTCCATTTCTGCCTGTTGAAGAGGGAAAGGCTATCCCTGGTTCCCCACGGAGCTGCCTTTGGTGAGAACACTCTTAGCCCTGGCAGGGCTGCCGAGGCCAAGCGAGGAGGGCGATGGCAGCTGTGGCGCTGCAGGGCCTGCAGTGATCTCTGTGCAGTGATCTCTGTGCCCCAGCACTGGGGACAGCCAGAGTCACCAGGGAGTCAGACACAGGTGCAGAAAGAGGCAGGTGAGCAAAACAAAGGCCTCCATAATCCTGAGAGTGCACAGTACCTACCTACCTATTTCCCGGTGGATTGCTGAGGGGTTGCTAACGAGCAGGTTGTTGTCTGAGTTGTTGTGGCTCCACCCCGCTCCTGGCACGGGGGGATGATGGTGATCACAGCAATTGGCTCCACCTTGCAGCCCTGACCCAAGGACTGAATGAAAACCTGTGCCACCAAAGTGTTGATGCTTCTTTCCTCCCCACTGCAGTCCCAGTGTGATTTAGGATGAAGTCAGTCAGCCACAACGCATTGCTGTGCTATGATAGCCTTTAAATACAGACTTGAAGGGCTTGATTTTTTAACTGCTAACTCATACTAAGTTTTTGTTCCACATCCCATAATTGTGTTGTCATGAAAGTTTACACGTGCTGCTACATTAAAAATTTTAAAAAAGGGTAAATGGGCAACTTGGAAGAATAGAAATATAAAGAAAGGGGAAGAATTGTAGCTGGCGGTTCTAACAGATGTTAAAACGTCTGGCTACAGACAGTGTGTGTGTGTGCGTGTATAGGTCAGCCAATGTGGAAACTACTTCAAACAACCTGAAAAAGTTTGGCTTTTACTGGGTAGGGCTGAACTCCATCAGATTCAGCTTCTTTTGAACTTGAAATAATTGTTTGCTTCCAGTGTGTGTAGTAGTCAACTGTAGATGTAGATTTGGTGGATCGCGGATTTCTTCCAAAGAAATACAAGTATATTTGAAAAGTAGTTTGTTGCATAAAGTTGCCATGACAATGATCTTCAAAATGTGAACTGTAAGATGTTCTTCTCCTCTGTTTAAACAGGTTCCTTAGGGAATGAGGCTTCACAGTGCCCTGTGTGTCCCCTCTCTTCTTTCCTCCCCGATGATTTATAAAAGGAATTAATTTAGATGCAGGGGGCCAAAAGAAATTAACATAGAAGTGCCAGATGTTAGATTTTCTTACATTCTTGAAATTCATGGGATGCTATAGTCAAATAGGAAGAAATCAAAGCTTCCATCAGTGCTTCCACCTCGAGAGAGGCAGGCACTCCTCCTCTGCACATTAAAGCTGGCTGATGGCTGTGCACCCACAGGACTGTCTGCTAAAAGAGCTGTGAGGCCATGCAAGAGGGAAAAAAGGTGGCTGTTTGTGTGGAAGATGAGGTTTGAGGGAAAGGATATAAACCCTGCATGAAGGAGCTTTTTGGTCTATCCACCTCAACAGTAAACCAGAGAATTGGTTCAGTGGAGATATGTTTTTGCTCTGTGTGTGTATATGGGCAAAAGTACCACTCCATATTTGTAGGTGTTTTGAAACGTTTTGAGTGCCTGTTTCTCTGGGCTTTTAAAGCTTTTTAAAAGCTTTGATCCGAACTAGGTTTTATTTGTCAGTCAAATTTGTCCTAGTCCAAATACAGGACTCAAGTTTGGGGAAAACTCAACTTCTGTGGAGATTGACATACACGATAAGACCTTGTTTCATGGTTTTCTTTCTACTTTCATTCCCTGCTTTCTACTGAAGAAAGCACTGAACAAGCTAATGTTTCTACTTGTTTCCTAAGGAGCAGATCTTAGGCAAAAGGTAAGCATGCAGCAAGGCAGCTTTTGATCACCTGTCTGCTCCCTAGATGTACTAAGAGCTGTAAAAACAAGATGTTTTAGTGTTTCTGTTCGTGTGGTAGAGCAGGGGAGCGTTGCCAGAGATTTCTTGTTTGCTGTTTTTCTTCTGGATCAGATACAGAGGTGTTGACTGGGGGCTGCAGTTGTAGCTCTTGCTACACAAACCAGACATACCTTTGTCTGTCATCTCTTCAGAGTTTTGTAGTTATATAGCAGAGCTGGGAATTGAAGAGAAGTTGAGCCAGCTCAACTGAACATGGGAAAACAAACATGGAAAAGAATGTGCTAGAGAATGAAAAAAGAGAATTACCCTCCAGACCCAAATCATGGTTTGCTAGGTAGCAGCTGTCTGGCATTCACAGATTAAACAGCCACTCAGCTAACATGCAGTGACAACGATAGCATGTCCTCTGTTTTGCTTTGAGTGCATGAAATGAGGAATTAACTCTCCCGTGCTGAAAGCCATAAAAGTATCCGGAAGTGTGTGTTTACTCCTGACAAACACTGGAACTTGGCTGTAGTTTTCAGTACCTGTTTTATTCTTTACATGACAATACAGAGTGAATGGTGTTAATGCTGCTTTATAAGTCAAAAAGTGAAGTAGTTTTTCGATAAAATGACTCTCTGAACACATGGAGTTTGGCTCTGAGGGGTTTTATTAAATGCATAATTGATTCTCAGTGATTTGGTGCATTTCATGGTTTTCGTGGCCTCTTCTAAATGTAAAGATTTGTGTGGTCTTTTGTCTTTCAGCATTCTATGTGGAACCCAGGGAGCCTGAAGGAAGCTGTGAAGCTAATGGAATGATTCCCTGTGTAGCTGAAACTATGTAAGTATTAAATGTTTGCTTGCAAGATCATCTGCCCAGCATCAATTGTTGGAGCAAGGACTGCTTTGGGTTCAGCAGTGGCAATGATGCCCTCCTGCTTTCCCAGTGGAAAGCTGTGTTTGTCTGTTCAGAGATGGAAAAACACAGGGCACCCATGATACTGTTCCCTACTCTCAGCTGTTTTAGAAGTCATGTATCCCTGTCCACTGAAAGGTAGATAATGCATAGTGGAATTCTGTGAAATTCTTACAGGCTATGCTCAAGTGTTTGTGAAAAGCTGAGGTGGCTTGAGGCTTAGTTAAGCTCTAGCAGTGTTGTCTTTGCCTTAGCTAGTGAACTGCTACTTGGAAAGGGATTTAATGGTTGGCTGAGCTGTGTCCCCTTTTGTTATGAGATTTCCTAAAATTTGTCTTGGAGGTGTTCTTGAATGTATGGAAGGTTTTTTTCTTCTACTTTCTTGATACTTTCTCTGTTTGGAAACTCACTGTAAATACTTTCTGATGCAACACTTTATTAAACAACATAATGCTTGTTTTGCTTGTTATTCTCTGGACATATCCAATAATTTCTGCTACTATAATAACACCAGTCATCAAAGAAAAATACAGGGTTGCTTAAATATCTCCTTTGCATCTTCTCCCCTCCTGCCAGCTCCCCCCCACTTCAGTGCTGCCATTTTCAATTGTGCCATGCTGTGCCTGTATGACAGAGAGTTATTACTGAGTCACTTTGTTTTGCTCCCTTCAAATCTTGGGTTATGTGGGACCTGGTCACTTGAAAGTGGAGAAAAACTGAATTCCTTACAGCATTTAGAAAAAAATCCCACACAAACCCCCCACCAAAACAAAAAGCCCCACCAAGCATTAGCCAAGGCCTTTGCAATCTCCTGGATTTTTCATATTATACATGGGGCCATATAGTTCTGCTCTCCTTTGTTGTGAGGGGGTGACTTGCCTGTCACTGGCTGTATTCACCAGCACTGGTCTTCCTGTGTTCCCACTGCTGCCTCCTTTCTAAAAGGTGCAGAGAACGTCTCTGTTGATCCCTGCTTTGCAGTTCCTGTTATGTGGAAGATGGCCTCATGGCTTCTTGGTGATTCATGTGTGCTGGAGGTCATTGCTCAATCCTTGTCTGAGTAATAAACTTCTTTGGGAGTTCTGCATCCTGGAGCACTGAGCACATTTCAACCTTAGCCCTGAATTTTGACCTTTCTTCGCAGAATGGCCAAAGTCGTGGTCAGTGCTGCCTTTTATGTCTTGCTTTTATGCTGTACAAGCCTCTTACAGTAATGTTGCTCCTGGGAATTGATCCTTTTGGAATTGGTGCTTTGCCACCAATCCAGTGTAACCTTTGGGCACGGGAGGAGTTTATACTTGTAGTTCCTGATCCAGCTGGGAGAAATATTCAGCAGGTCCTTACACTGCCGTGGCTGTGCTTGGCGTGACTGAGACGTGACTCTGGCGCTGCTCTGCAGGTAAATGACAGCTCTGCTCACCTTCCAGAGGGAGCCCTCCCACGCTCCTTGGACAGTGGGTTCTGTGCAGCCCTTGATGCTGCAACGAGATCCTCTCTCTGGCCTTCCATAACAAAAGGGCCGACTTCTCCCACTTGTTTCTATCTCCTTCCGACGCTCTTGTTCCTTTCATGCCTTGAAACCTGAGTCATGTAGGAAGCGGAGGTGACTCCTAAGTGAAGTGGATCCAGCTCAGCGCAGGCGATTTACAGAAGGGTAGCTGAGGGAGTGCCAAAAGACTTTGCTCTTACAAAACCAGATCCATGCACAAGCTGCCAGCGGATGCAGTCTGGCTTTTTTTTTTTTTTTTTTCCTTTCCCAAGCTGGTTTTGCTATTTTTGGGGTAGAATGCTTCTAAGTATCTGGCACATGGCATCAAATTTCGTGTAGTACAAAAGTGAGGAATTGCAGCAAGTGTACACCAGTATCTTCTAGTGTTTGTTCATAAGGAGTAGGATTGTGCTCTGAAAATCTCCTGGGCAGGGAGGAGGAACTGCAGTGCTGGCAGTGCCGAGGCAGGAACTGTTCAGGAGCAGCACTGGGCTCCTAGTAAGGCAAGTAAGAGTACAGAAATTGTGTTTGTTAGAGGGGTATGATGCAGGGACATGGTTACCTTGCACTCTGTGGGTAAATGCTGCTGTGGTTGCCAGTGGTTTTTGGGAACAGCTGTTGGGATGCTTTCTCAAATACATGTGTCTAATAATGCTGGCTGACCTTCCCTCTCTGTATTTTAGTGCTCTTTTTGTGACTGCAAATGACTTTAAACCTCATCTGTTTCATCAGGCTGGTGATGTCACTTTGTAAACCTGAATATGAGATTGTTATCATCATTAATACAAGCTGTTGCTTAGGAATGACAGCATGAATCACTTGTATTAGGAAAAGTTATGGACACAGTATGTCACTCTCACAAACTGCCTTCTTTTTTTTTTTTTTTTTTTTTAAACTTTAAATTGGGTTTCCTGAAGTGAATTGGATTAATTTCTGTCAATTATGCTGTGTGTGATTTGACTACTACCAGCTACTTTAAAGGAAAGTACTGCTCACTAATAGGCAGCTATTCTTTAACCTGCCCATAGGGAAAAGCTGTTCCAAGTCACCAATAGCTAATAACTGCTGTTATGTGTTTGAGCAGAAAGTTCTTTATACTGCTTAAACTCTGCTTTAAACTCTTAACACTGGTCTTTACTCAGGATTTTTTTATTCTACTCTTTTACCTACATGCTTCTCTCTAAAGAAAAACTTGTCATGTGCAGTGCTACCTGTCCCTTAGAAACTGATTGAAGAACAAGACTTAGTGTAGATCGAGCATTTGAGTTCTGCTGAATTTAAAGATTGGAGAGGGTCTGGAAAAAGCTGGTATCTGGGAGTTAATCACTAAGCAGTTCTTACTCTGCCTACTGATATCCTGTTTATTTTGGTGTAATGAAGTAATGACTGGTGGAGGCTGGAGAAGATGATGTTGCTCAGGCACATGGCAGCACAGGAATCAGTGCCAGGCTGTGCTCTGCAGTTCACAGAGCTATGAAGTACCAAGGGCCAGTGAAATTGTCTTTTGGGTTGTTTATGTGGACATGCATATTCTCAAGAATCCTTTAAGATACAAATTACTAAGAATTTTTTAATGCATAAAATTGAACTCGCCTATAAAAATGATTGCTACAAAGTTCATCTTTAAAGCAGTGTGATGACAGGATGTATTAGATGTTTGTTCCTTTGGCTGCTTAAAAATAACTCTTTGTTAGTTATGTGTGTGGGTTATGTGCTTAAGAAAACGGATTGGGGAGGGAAAGGGAAGACAGGTAGTTGAAAGCAGCACGTTGGCTGTTGTAACCAACACACAGGCCTGTTGTAGTTGCACTGGCAAAAGTTTTTGTTCATGAAGCTGCATATGTGCTGTTTTCTCAGAACAGGTACAAGTGGCTGAGAGAAGATTTATGTTTGGAAGCTGAGAATTCATCTGTACTTGCTGCTGGCTTACAGCTTAAAACGGGTTCAGCCTCATAAGAGCTCTACTCAAGAAAGAATGACTGCAGAAGAACTGATATGACATCTGTTATCTCTCTTCTTTCTTGTACTAATTCTAACCTGGAAGCAGTACACAAAGACAAGGCAAACCCAATTTTTGTGTTTGAGGCTTTTGCCTGGCTGACAGCAGAGATGAAATGCAAATGAGTGGGTGAAGGAGGAATACGATAAGCAATTGCTTTCTTGGAGCTGATCTTTCTGAGAAATGGACTGTCCACGGCCTGGCTGCCTGCTGATAGGGCAGCGTCAGAATGTTAGTTTGGCTTTAATAGGGAAAATTTGAGAACCCTTTTCTGTGGGTAAAATATCTTTCCCAAATATGCAAGGCTTTGTGATTTATAAAAACAGAGTATGATGAAATCATTTTGGCATTTTAATTTTTATTTAAAAAAAAAAAAAAAAAAAAAAGCCTGAACTGGAATTACTGCTTCTTATCTACATGTGTCTGTCTGAAGAAGATTCATTAAGAAGGCCCCTCCCCTGTCTGTCTCATTACCTGAAGGGAGGAGCCCACTTGGGACAATTAACAATTCCTGAACACCCTCTTGCATGAGAAGCGAGTGTTGCCTCCTTTCTGCAAACACTCTCTGTGTATGTTTTAAGTATTAAAAAAATCTTAATTCCAAACTGTTTAAAAACAAACAGACAACTTCCACTCTCCTTCTTCCACACACACACACAAAAAAGCCAACAGCCAACCCCCCCCAACCCCCTTTTGCTGATTTGCTGAAGGTACAGTTTGGATCCAATGCTTAGGTCTCTGCCAGTTTGTCCCATCAGTGTCCCTGTCCCCTCTCCCCTGCTTTGTTTCAGTGTTTTATATTCTATATATAAAATGTGGGTATACTTTTAAAAACCATTTCCTTTAAAATATTTCTGGGTTAGAGTAGTCTGTCTTGATGAAGCCTGTACATGAATCAACCTCTTTGTAACCTATGTTGCCGTAAGAATTTTAGGAATTTCCTTTATTAGGACCCGTTAGGATACTGCAGCCACTGAGTGAGCTGCATTGATTTCTAGGTAAAACAGTCTGAAATTGCCTGAAATTTATGGCATTGCCAGCCTTCTGTACACTGCTCCTTTTCAGTATTTAGAACTTAAATATCCTGAAGTCGGTCGCTTACTGGCAAATGTTATCCCGCATTTAATACTGAAAACACCCTTTGCAGGCAGACAGCAGTTTGACTGTGGAACTGTTTTGCAGGTTGGCTGAGTGCTGCTGATGGCATGGTGAGATGTGTTGAGGAGCGGCCGCGAGGGTGTCCGAGGGCAGGGGGACCGCGGTAGGAGCTGGTGCGCAACATCATGGGCCAGTGCGTCACCAAGTGCAAGAATCCTTCCTCCACCCTGGGCAGCAAAAATGGGGAAAGGGAATCCGGCAGCAAGTCCCACAGTAAGAGAAGTGCAGTCCACAAAGACGACCACGGCTCAGCCTGCGGGAAGGCTTCGGGAGACATCCTCGTGAACGGCACCAAGAAAACGGACGCTGCTCTAGAGTCCAACCAGCCCCCCACGCTCTCTGGAGATACAAAGAAAGACTCCGTTTGCAGCGCAGAAGAATCTTCACTTCAAAGGATCGGGGAGTTGTTTAGGAGGTACAAGGATGAACGGGAAGATGCCATTCTGGAGGAAGGGATGGAACGATTTTGCAATGACCTCTGTGTTGATCCCACTGAATTTAAAGTACTAGTTTTGGCTTGGAAATTCCAGGCTGCTACCATGTGCAAATTTACAAGGTTAGTTCTTGTAGAACTTGTAATTATTTTCATATGTTAAAGTGTATCCTGTCAGCTGTATGTTGGAGACACAGCCTCATTAGCTTCACTTGTTTCTTCTAACACTTGCATTTTGATCAAATTAATTCCTACCACTGCAGAAGGTAAGCTTTGTGTTGTCTTCTTCTCCCCTTCCCCTCACGGTGGGTTTCAGAAGATGTGGTTTTGGCCATTATGCTGCTAGTGGTAAACACTGTAGTGAGATTCTGTAGACATTCATTTATTCTTGATTTACCAAAAGCAGTTTACTGTATTCAGCATTATCTTGGACACTGAAATGAATTTTTCCTTTAAAGTAATGTGAGATTCTTTAGTAATTGCTACCAACTCTGTTACCAGTTTGTGAAAGAATGACAGATTTGTCCCTGCCCAATTAGTGTTACACTTAATGTCTTTTTCCAAGAGTAATCCTGTTAAAGCGTAGTGAGGGAAGGAAATGTGAGGGGTTTGACTCCAGTAGCAGTTCCATACCTGCTGACGAGCGATTGCTATTCAAAGTGCTGTCTGCCCTTCTGGACAAGGGGCTCAGTCAGCAGGCTCACAGCACTGTGATGCTTCAGGGAACAACAGAAAGGCTAAAACCTCCCCCATAAAGCCCACAGCCAAACCCCAGCTGCAGCAGCCTGCCCCAGCTTCATGAACAATGTCCAGGTAAGAGCAAGTAAAGACTATCTACAGGGACTTACCAGGAAAGGAGGAATTTTTTTATTTTTTGGTCTATCTAGATTGGTTTGAATAATGCTGCCTATTTTTACTGAGGTTATAACTTTCAAAATTACTTTGGTGTTCAGAGCCTTGACCCGAGCCTTTGCTGTGCACTGAACACAGGTAACTGTCCCAGCATCTTCAGAGTCCGTGTGTGTGAGTGTGTGTGTCACGTGGGTGAGTTACTCTGCAATGCAAGTGTGGATTTACTGGAGGCTGAAGGCACAAGTATTTGCTAAGATGGTAAAGGAGTTGTAAGCAATGTCTGTGATTCTGCACAACCACCACGAGTGCTATTAACATGGTTTTGGTGTTCTTGGAGGGGCCAGATCTAGTGGTGAGCAGTTACCTTTGTTTCAGGGCACACTCCATGATACAAGTGCTGGCTGACTTCTTCCATCAAGGAAAGCTGCTCCTGCACTCTGCTGCATCTCCTGTCCTCCCTCCAACCCATTCTGCAACACCTGCTGGCTCTGGTCAATGTTGGCTGGTTATAACACTTGCTCATGAGCATCAGGGATCAGAGATAACCATCCACCCCCTGGTCAGAGTGTTAGTTGGCCAGTTAGTCCAGCACTGGAGCTTTGAGCAGTGGTGTTGTGCTGTAGCCCGTGTTGTGTGATGCCCTGCTCCCTTCCACACTCTCAGCAGGTGCCTTATTGACTGTTGCTGTTGGCAGCCTTTTGATTTTGCAGGCTGGAAGAGCAACCAGAAACCACAGGAAAGCCAGCAGTGAAGTTCTCTGTCCCTTGAGAACAGCTGGCCCAGAGCATGGGCATTTAGACATGGGCAGTACTGAATCAATTTGGGGCATGTGTTCGTTTCAAACACTTGGAATTTCCTCTGTGGTAAATTGGATTCACTTTTTAATGTGAAAGGCACTGGATGTGGCAGTGTCCTGTAGTCAGAATGTGACAGCAACATCTTCCAAATGCTAACAGTGCCCCAGTGGCTCTGAGGGCTGTGTGTGGTTCCCCAGGCCGTAAGGAATGCCTTGGAACTGTGTCTCTTTTCAGTAGGTTCCACAACCAAAGACTTTGTGCCACCTGGGCAGAGTGTACACCTTGTCTTGTCCAGGTAATCCTGTTGGATTTGCCGTAGCTGAACAGAGGTGGGAAGTGTTTGACACGTGAGGTCTGTGGGAAGTGCTCACACTGATTTCTCTTCTCTTGCTTCATAGGAAGGAGTTTTTTGAAGGCTGCAAAGCAATAAATGCAGACAGCATTGATGGCATTTGTGCAAGGTTCCCCAGCCTCCTAAACGAAGCCAAGCAGGAAGATAAATTCAAGGATCTCTACCGTTTCACCTTCCAGTTTGGCCTGGACTCTGAAGAAGGACAGAGGTCGCTACATCGGGAAATAGCCATTGCCCTTTGGAAATTAGTCTTCACCCAAAACAAGCCCCCTATTTTGGACCAGTGGTTACACTTCCTAATCAAGAACCCCTCAGGAATCAAGGGAATCTCCCGGGACACGTGGAACATGTTTCTAAATTTTACTCAGGTGATTGGACCGGACCTTAGCAATTACAGCGAGGACGAGGCCTGGCCGAGTCTCTTCGATACCTTTGTGGAGTGGGAAATGGAGCGAAGGAAAAAGGAAGAGGAAACCAAATGTGTTACGTCTTCGGACACAGAGGGCCTGTGTGAGGAACAGACTTAGCGGTGTCCAAGCAGCAGTGACGAAAGCAACTTGTTGCCCTTCACAAAATGTAAACTCTGGATGTTTCTGGAAATTACCGAGGCTCCAGATTTTTCTACTTTACACCTTTTTCTGCCTTGTCTTTGAAAGGGCTCTAAAATGCTGTATCATGTTTTAGGCACTTTCTTAATTTTGGTTATTCCTTTTACTCTTGCCCTGAAATATTTGACCCTGGCTACAAGTTAAGCGTTTTTGGGGGTTGTTTTTTTTTTTAAGACTTCAGATTAGTATAAGTAAGTCTGATATTTCTTGCACAATGTAGATCTTTTTAGTTAGGTTAAATTAACATTGCTAAGTTATACAGTGCCAGATTAAGTTTTTCATACTACATCTGTCAGGGCAGGTCTGTACTGTGTGTAGTGCTGTTTACATTGTTGAAATTTTAGGCTATAATAATTTTAAGGTTTTATACCAAGATGAACAGCAGTGTTAACTATAAATGCATTAATCCCGGGTAATAAGGCTCTAAAAACCAACATAAGCAACAGCTTTTTGTAATATGGCTAATTCTCATTTTGAGCTAACTCTTAGTGAATGAGTCCAGATCATTCCTTTTTTTTGGACTTTCAAACTAAATGTTGGGATTGTTTTATAAAATTACTGTACCTGTCAGTCAACTGAGTGGTAGATGACGATTTGTATCTAAATCTCTTTACACATTCATGTAATAAAAGAGCAGTACTACCTCAGTTTTATTGAAAGTGGACTTGTTGATGGACTTCCATTTTCTCTGGAAGTTGTATTTTTGTGGTTACATGAGAATATTTTTACTTGACTAAAAGAACCAAAGGTTCTGCTTCTTAAGTTTGCTAAACATTGACAGAAGCAACACACAAATCCTAAGTCTTCAAGGAAAACTGTGGTATAATTCTGCTTTAATTTGTTTGATTTATACCTAAAGTATTACCTTACTTGTCTGGCAAGCACAGTACTTCTATGTAAGGAACTATCTTTTGCATTAATACTGATGAACCAGTTTTTTAAGGCCTATGTTTAATTGCTAAATTGCAGTTAATACTCCACACTTTCTGGAGAAACAATATCGGCATCTGATGACAAAGTGAATTCTTAATGTGTTCTTAATGACAACAGTGTAGATGAGTCATTTTTAGACTGATTTGATAATATTTGGATAGGAGTCAATTTATTATTTTACAATGCCTGTATTGGGATATTTGCCTGTTGAAATTGTTGTGACTTAAAGGGAGTTTTATTAACACTGGTTGAAACTTTTTTGGTTATTGATGCTACCTTTTTTAATTTTTAGTATGTCAACTTTTTTACACCTTTTGGTAAAAGGAATGATTGCCAAGGCTTTCTCTATAGCCAAGTGCTGGCTTAGTTAATTTGATAAACTTCCGTTACACCTTTTTATTTTCAGAGCTGCATTTTAGGATCATAAAACGACTTCAACTAAAAAAAACCAAACCAAAAAGAAAAAAAAGAAGCCTGGTCAGTCATCCATAGCATCTACTGGCTTTTGTGCTGTAAGGGTTTTCAAGCTAAAGGGAACCAGGTTTTAACTGGTGGGCTTGTCACCAGATCCAGGGTGTCGTGCTTTGCATGTCTGCTGTGCCCCAGAGGGGTTAACAGACAGAGGAGCAGGATCTGCCCCAGTTCTGGGACTGGCTTTGCTGGTGTGCAGCCTCTGCAATAGCTTGGCTCTGAGGTCATAAATCACTAACAAAATGTGGGTAATGGAAACTGTTTAAAAACAAGCCCACGAGTCACAGATAGCATCTCTTTCATCTAATAAGAGGAGAGTTTGGTCCGTGCTGCTCTCGCTGGGAGCCAAGCTGTGGCAAACAAATGTGGTTGTTTTAGATGCAGCTGAGTCTGTCTCTGGCAGGAGGAGTGCCCTGAAGTTGCTGTTTTGTGGGTAAATATGCCCAAAGCTTTGTCCTTGCTACTCTAACCTTCCAAGCTACTGTGGCACGAGCACTGTTTGGCAGCAAAACCTGATTCTGGTTTGGTGGGCAAAGCAGGCCAAAGCACTTGTGCTGGTGGTGTTGAATTTATGGTGAGACTTTTGTTGGTGCTGTTACTTTTTAAAAACTAAAATAAATTCCCCAACAGAGGCTGCTTTGTTAGGAAAAGTTCCAAATGCAGACTGTATTTCTAAGTTTGAGGCTCTTCATTCATTCAGCTATTAAAAGCTTTGTTCATCACTTAAGTTTTTTTTTTTTTTCCTAAAGGAAAATTAAAATGTCCAGAGTGTGAAGACTCTTCAGCTGATAGCCAGTGCATGCCTGCACACCAGATCAGGGCAGGGGCTGCTTCTCATTTATGTGCTAACAGGCAGCAGCTCCAAAGGATGAGGGACAGAGCTTTTTTAGAGGGATGTTTATCTTGTGGTTGGAATGTGGACAGCAGGGAAGAAATCAATCTGTAGCACATCCAGCTCAGCCCTTTTAATGTATCAGACTTAATACAGCTTCTTTTTAAGGCAGAGGTGAACTCACAGGAAGGGAAAATCTGGTTTCCTGTTGGGGAAAGGACACACTGTTGGCAGTGGCTGAGTTCCCATGTGTTCAGTGTGGGGGCACAGCCCTGCTCCTGCTCCTCTGCTTCCAGGAGCAGGAGCAGCTCCACCCCCTGGACAGAATACTTGCAAAAATAGCCAAATGATCTATCCAGCAAAGTACCATTTATTTTTAGCCTAATTTCAGTCTTTTAATTACCATTTACAGAATGCAAACCAGACCTGTATCAGTTTCAAGCTCTGAACCAGGAGCTGGAGGTGCTTTGGCAGTGCTGACAGTGAGCGAGGCTGTCAGACCTTCCTTGGATTGCCTGGTGATTTTGGGATCCTCAGTGAGACTCACCCGTGCTCTGTCATGCTGGGGTGGGGGACTGGGCTTTGCACGTGTTTCTGAGAAGTCTTTTATAATATTGGAGCCTCTGAAAATATGTTTGTTTAATGGTTAAACTGTGAATATCTGTGGAACAGGCCAAATACATTCACTCTTCATTTTTATATAATTTAAATCTTTATTTTTTAGGGCACAGGACTGTAAGTGAGCAGTGATGCTGATGAAATCCCTGAAATCATTGCAACTGTTTAATTTTTTTTTTTTTAAATTAGAGTATGCATTAAGGAACTTTATGCATGTAGTGAATCTGCTGCAACTTGGGATAAATAACTATAGGTAACTTTATAGTTATAGTAATATACTGGAAAACTGGTCTGACATCCACAGTCTGTGGCATTTTACTGCCTTCTCTTATATGCAAAGAAATACAACTCCTGTACACTTTAGTCCCTGGTAATAAAAGGCTGACCACCTGCACCATATTATAGTTTGCAACACCTTTAAAATTTGGCTTCCAGATCAACTGGAGGCTCAGTTGTGCTAAATTTTACTCGCATGGGTGCACTTCTGAGGTCAAAGACTGATGACTGACTGATTCAAGTAAGGATTTGAAAGGTCCTGCCCATGGAACATGACTGAGGAAATGGAATTGAACACTGAATTGAGAGTTTACTTACTGCTGGTGCTACTCTCCATGGAGAATTACAGCTTTTCAGTCCTGTGCAATTGTAATGAAAGAACCACAGGAAAAATAACTGCAGGTGTGGCAGGTGGTGTAAGAGCAGACAGCTGGAGCCTGCAGCAGTTGGGAGTGCTGGGAGCGGCTCCCCCAGGCTGGCCTGGCAGATCTGCTCATGGATCACCCTCTGGACCACGGCAGCTTCTCAGCTGAGCACAGGTAGAGCATGAGAGGAGCTGCCCCTGCTCTGCTGACTGAGTGGCTCAGGTTGGTGCACAGGTAGAGCATGAGAGGAGCTGCCCCTGCTCTGCTGCTGTGAGGGGCTCGGGTTGGTGCCCAGATGCAGCCCCTGCTCCCACGGGCAGGGTGGGTGCCTGGTGGGTCGGTCAGTGCTGAGGCAGCAGCAGCTTTGCCTGTGTAACTTGGATCATTCACTCCTCCCACGTCCACCAGAGCCTGAGGAACCCATGGATCCAGGACTAGCCTGTTATCCATGGTTCCCAGGTGTGGCTATGCACTGCCCAGTGACCTTAGTCTTTTCATGACACTGTCAACATCAGCATCTCCCTTATAGTTCTAAGCCTTGGTTCTAAAAAAAGCCCAGCAAAGTTAAAAGAAACACCATGTAGTTAACAGCCACCTCAGTTGTGATATAATTTCTTGGCTGAGGTTACATCATTCCCATGCTTTGGAAAATAACAGTCATTGTGAGTTTCTGGGTCTTGCAGCCTTGTCTTCTGCAGTGTGATCCTTTTTTAGAAGGTCCTCAGTAAATTAGGCACTCAGTTCTTCCCTTGGGCTCACTCTGCTCAAAGTGTGTGCATGTGAATTTAGCTCTTCATATTAAAAAAGGAAGATGTTTAACCTGAAACTCAAAATTCTTTAGGGTAGTGCTTCAATATAGAGCAAAACGTATTTTTTCACATAAGTATTAAAAACAAAGTTTCCTTTCTGCTTAAACTTTGTTGTGTGCAAACAAACCCACCAGTGTTAACATTTTCTCTCTGGACTATTGGAAATTGAACCTTTGGTTTTATAGTGTCAACTGAAGTGAAATACATGAGATTGTAAGACAGAAAGAAGGCTGTAACTCCTTCACCATGAAGTACATAGGTATCTCTACCTCTTGTTCTTAGACTTGAATAGTTGAAGGTTACCATCCTTTCGTCCCAGGATTTTATGCCTGGGTGAGTAATCTATCTTTTTTTTTTTTTTTTTTTTTAATTGACCCAAGTTAAGTATTATCTATTTGCCATAGTTTTTGGTATACTGTGTTTCATGTGTATGCAATGGACCCTTGGGAAGGGAGCCGGGTCAAGCTGCAAACCAGTGTGTTGGTCCTCCCGGGTGCTACTTTTGGAGTGCAATAGAGCGGCCGAGCGGAGCTCCCCGGCCGGGGCTGGGGGGCCTCTGGCAGCACATCCTCCTCCCTGCTCGGGCTGCCTGTACTGGCAGTGAATTGAAGATGGAGCAGCTGCTCCCCAGGAGGGAGCCACCAGCCTTTTCCTTTGCCCTTGAAAAGCTTTAGGAACCCACCTGATGCAGTGCCATGAGTGTATTTTTATTTGAATCAAAAATACTGTGTTTTGTTCGCGTTGGACCAGACCTGTAACACCCAGCAAAGATGGGAGCTGCAGAAGCATAAAGGCTGCACTCATCCTTTTCCTCTCAGAGGTCAGAATCCTGCTCAGGATAAAACCCCTATGCTTGAGTAAAGCTGGAGCGTTCTCAAGGGGACTGGAGGTGCCAGAGTGGCTTCAGTGCTCGGCTGTGCTCATTAATGCATCGAGGGGGTGTCTTTTCCACGCGTGTCTGTGTGCCCTGCTCTCCTTCCCCAAAGCAAACTACAACACAACTACAGTCACGGCACGGCCCCAGGAGATGGGATGCTGCAGCAGCTGTTGCTGCAAGATTGTTCTTCCAGTGCGTGTGAGGGCTGCTTTTGGGGTGTGACCTCGTGCACTATTAGGACGGGCGTGTGTTTCAGGAGAGACAATAGGTAAAAGGAGCACGGACGTTCTTGTCCTGACAGCTTGCCTTAAATCACTGACATTGCAGTGGTTCCTCGCTACTATTGCAATCCTCAGTCTTTGGAAATCCAGCAGGTTCTGTAGGTTGTACTATTTTTGGTTTTAATTTTTTTTAATAAGTTTCTATCTTCGCATAATTGCACTCTTCAAATAAGCCCTTTTTGGATAACATGTCATTTCTCACACAGGAAAAAAAATATTCCGTCTCCAGTGTTTGTGTTGTAAAGTGGGTTTTTTTTCCCTCCTGTAAATTATATTTGGACTATAGGTTGCCTACTCCTGAACCAGTGTGTTTACTTGAATGTTGCCATTTTATGCAGTTACAGCTGCTGACTCTTGCTCTTCTCTGGGCCCATGAGAGTGGAGATCGTGTGACCAGGGGTGGCAAACCTTGCACAGAGGATCAGTGGAGCTGAAGGCTGTGCTACTCCCATGTGTATTCCACCTCAGAGGACTGAACAGTGCTCCATATTTTGAAGTTGTGATTTTTTTAAGTCACGTTAAACATAGTTATCTTAAAAATATGCTTGCTTTCTTATCTGTAAGTTTGAAATAGTCTCTAAAAAGGAGCTGGACTGGCAGGAGTGGTGGGAGGGCCTCATGCTGTTAGTTGTTGAGTAACTCGAGTTGCAGGAGCTGTGGCTGGGACTGGCTGAATGAGGTCCTGATCCAACACTGTTGGGGTTTGCACTGGCTGGTCTTGAGGGCATGAAGCAAATGCAAGGCCTTGATGGGCCCCCTGGAGAAGGGAGACTTGGTTGGTGCAGCTGCGTTTCTTTCTTGAGGCCCCAGTTTAGCCTCACTCCCCCTCTGTGGAAGGAAGGCATTTTGATTGTGTTTGCTCCCAGAGAAGTCGCTCAGTGTAACCAAGGAGGTCCTGGGAGCACAGCTTTGTGTGGCTGTCACTGATCTCATGTGAACAGAGCTCCCTGAGCGGTCTCTCTGCTCCTCAGTAACCAGCAAGGGTGGGCAGGGTCAAATCTTCATGCCAGGAGTGTGTTCTGCCTTTTCAGACTTACCAAGAGAGAACCCAATTTTCTCACTCTGGGAAATGATGAATGTGTTGTGTGTCACAGAGCAGCCCCTGGTTCCTCTCTGGGCCAACAGTATCAGAAATGTAAATGTAATGCTTGAAAATGGCTGGAGTAAATTCTGTTTCATGGAGGACCTTTTTTTCAAGGGGATGCAGCCAAATTTGAAACCATGATCTAGAGGAAAAGTGGGAGAATTTCAGGACGATTCATCTACTGAATCCCATTTGGTTTTCAGTTTTACAGTTACTCTTCTTGTATCAAATTTTTCTCACCATTGTTGTCTGGAACAGAATGGAAACAGCATCTTATGGAATGTGCAATCTAAGGCACAATGCAAATAGGGTATGATAAGAAGGTTGTCTTTACTTGATAGCAATCCTGAGTGCAATGTTTTTGTTGTGTCCCTTTTGGAAGAAGAGCATTAAGTGCAGTCTGAGGTTTTTCTTTTCTTATAAGCAAAGCATTGGTTTGTTCATTACTGACTTCTTGTGAAATTTGTGCCAGATGTATATTAAATATTTTGGTGCTTTTTCTAATCCAAGCTGCCGTTCATTTACCTGTGAGATTATTGTACTTCTGTATATTTAAATGACCAGTCCCTTTAAGAAGAACACAAAACAAAAAATCCTTTAGTCACAATGTACCCTGACTACTGTAGCGTGTCAATGTTCCAAAGCTTCTGGGTTTCCTGTATTCCAGTAAGGTCTGAGGGGAGGGGAACAGCTGCAGAAATCCACCCCTCTGGAAAGGGAACTCGCACGCTGTTCTGGGCGTTACTGAACAAACGAGTAACATTTGTGGTGTTTACAGAATGACACGTCGGTGTTCACTTTTTTGTGCTCAAGCTTTGTACAAAATGTCTTATTTAAAGCTGAAGTCCTTTTTACATTTTTCAATTAAAAAGGGACAAATTACTTTTATTTTTTCATGCCTATAAATAGGACTCTTGCTACTTTTATTTGTCACCTGAGTTTCTCAAGCAGGAATCCTGGATGCTTACCCTGCCTGCTCCTTGCAGGGAGGTGACCACATCATTTTTAAGTGTGTGGAACGAAAACTAGCTGGGTTTTTTCAACTTTGCAGTGCAAGTGTCTGCAAAAAGGGGATGCTGAATGTGACCAGTCTGAACAGGAGTGAATCCTTCCAGAGATGGGTGCTGGGGTCAGTGCCATTCACCCCCTCCCCTGAGCTGCCTGGCCCCGTGGGCTGGGCTGGGTCAGCAGCAGGGAGAGCTGTGCTGGGGAAGGCACTGGTTCCCTTTCACGTTGATGCTGTTGCTTATCCCACTTTGCAACAGCTGCAGCCAAAGGATGCCAGGCTCACTTGGAGTGGCTAAAGTACCTTTTCATAAGTAAAAAAAAAATTGGCTGCATTCATCTTGCTTAATAGATTTAATTTCAGGGGTTTTGGAGGCTTTAAATTTAGTCATGCCCAACACTGACACGAGCATCCCCTGCCTGCTGCTGCCTCTGGGCTCGTGCTGCACTTGCCTGTCTCCTCCTTGCCTGTATTTGCACCTGCCTCCTCCACACAGCTTCCACTCCTTAAACAGAGAGCCCAGCACAGTGAACGTGGAGCTGGAAAGTAGGAGGGTGTAAATACTCTATCAGCTGTATTTTAATAATTTCTGGAATAACTATTTCAGCTTTATCTCAGCCTATTTTAACTGAAAGAAATCTCATCTCATGGTCGAACCTTTAAACAAACGTTTCCTTTTAATTTTTCTGAGTGCCAGAAGCTCTCCTAAGCATCCCTATGCTTGGAAATTCCCTGTGTTAACAAGAGATTCTTGAGCAGCCTCTACTTTAGGTGGCAGGTGCTGGAGCATCTCATCCTGCTTCCAGCTCCCTGTGGAAAGTGTTGCTGTGCTATGTCCACATAATCAAGAACTTTCCTTAAAGCAGCCCTTGCCCCTCCCAAAGCCACACTGAAACCATGAAACTTTTATTTTTCCTCTTTTTTTGTGTGTGTGCAAGGGGTGGGTGGGGGTGGTCGGGGAGGGAGGAGAAAGTGGAGATTGTCCAAGAAGTATGAATCACCCATTCCTCCTTTCCATGGACCAAGCACAGTCCTTTCCTGGAAAGGAGGCAGCGACTCCATTTCAGGGGCTGGCACTGCACATTTCCAGAAATCCACACAATTCCTGAGGGCAGCTGTTAACTGCTGAGCAGCTGCTGCAGGTTCTACACTAACCTGGCTGGCTGGTTTATGGCCTGGGTTCCAGTGAAGATGCCCCAGCTGGTCCCTTGGTCTCCAGCAAGGAACGACATCCTACAGGTCAATCCCGATTAGATCCTAAGCAGCGCAGCCCCTGGTTTGCCCCAGCTCTGCCCAAGCACTTGCCTGGCTCAACCCACAGCAAGATGGTCTAATGGAAAAGTTTTTGTGTTTTAAGATGTTTTGAATGGCTTTTATTTTTAGACTTCGTAGAAGATACAGAATGAAAGCCTATTGTTCTTGTGCTAAGAGATCTTTACAAAGACATCAATATTTAAAGTAATTAAATATCCTAACAAAAGACTTTGCTTAAAAACTTGGCAGTTTAACAAGCACTCCTCCCTCTGTCATTTTTTATTCCCATCAGACCAAGGCCGGGTTGTGATCCATGCGTGCTGCAACACAAACAAGAGGTGTGTTAGTTCTGCTCAGGGCAGCCTTGGTGCACAGAATGTCTGCTGGTCTGGGAGCAAGGCCTGCAACCCTCAGGGTCAGCACATTGAAAAAAACGTAACTTTTTTTCCACCCAGCAATTATTTGGCATTCATTTTAATCAAGAAACCTCCTCTGGACTGTTGGTCCTCAGGGAAATGGCAATACAGGAACCTCGCTTGGCAAGAAACCTCTTCGGAGCCTGAGCTGGAGCTCCCGTCCAGCCCACTGAGCAGCCTGAGAGCACTGACTCTGTGGGCTTTCACAGGCTCCCTGTGGGTGCAGATTATTGAATCCACCTGTTCTGCTGGTGGGATTATACCCCTTGGTGGTGCAAGCTTGTGCTGAGTGAGAGTAGTTGGAGATGGCCCTTGAGGAGTCAATTTGGACCTGCTGAGCCCAATGACTGCTGCAAAAGACACAGGGTGGGCTGTAAATCACAGCCTCAAACCTTCCCCTGGGGTGACAGGTGAGTGTGCAAAGTACCTGAGGTGATACAGGCTGTGGAGAAGAGGCAAATGCTTGCTCAGACATGTAAGAACTGCTGAAATTGTAGCTGAAGGAAGCAGCAGCTGATCCAAGGCCCTTAAACACCATTGGGTGTTTAAGGTGTTTTAAACCTTCTGGGGTCAGGTCAGGCCCCCCTGGGCCAATTCAATCTGAGGCAGCATTTGAATCTGAGCCTCACACCCGCAGTCAGCACTTTGTGGCAGTAGTTTGGTGGTTTTAAAAACCAAACCACCCAAAAAACCTGCCTCCTGTGGAAACTCTGCTTGATTCATGGCCACAAAAAGCTTACCTCATTGTCAGTGGGGATGAATCATCTATCAGGAGAAGGAGGGTGAACTGATAGGACTTGTACAATCAGCTACATGAGTGGTGTGCACAAGTTTTGTGCTTGTTGTGGCTCAGGCCTGGCTTATGGGCAGAACTTGGGGCTGAGGTTTTATTGGCTGGACAGGAAAGTCAGACTGAGTAAGTACAACAGCTTCTTCAGACCTTTTCTCAGGCTTTCACTCCCTTGTGCAGAGTTTTAGTTTTTAACAGATTAAGGGATAGAAATATTCAGCTCTGTATTTTCCTTAGTTATGTGCAAAATAAGTGGCAAGTTACCTGTTCAGTCCAGGAAAGAGAACAACACACAGGGTGTTATTCTGCAGACTTCTATAAAGCTTTTTGATATGGTGGTCTAACTTCTTCACCTTTTTCCTTAGGTCCTGCTCCTGCATAAGAGAATATAAGCATTAAAACCCCGATTCATCAGCAATTGTACTTAAAAGTGCACTTGGGGAGGCTGGACCCTGAAAACATCATGTTCTCTCGTGTGATATTGCCTCTCCACACTGCCCTCTGAGAACTGATCCTTGGCAGCCCCTTTGCTCCAGCACAGGGAGACCCTTCTGTCACCAGCAGCTCTGCACCTAAGTCAGCTCAAAGTTACCACTCCAGGTTCCCAGGGCAGTCCCTCCTCAACAGCTGCAACAACCATCAGCGTGGCCTCACACTCACAGAGTCAGACAGCAGCTCCATTGTCTCATAGAAGATGTGTTTTCCTTGTTTCCCATTGCTGTGATTCATCTGCCACATCCATCTCCAGAGGTGACCCGAGGCAAGAGCATTCCTACTTCTTAGCTCGCTACCCTTCATGGTCCATCCATTTATGGCTTCGAGGGCATCCAGGGCACTCTGTGATTTCTGGAATTCTGAAATGCAGTGAGAAGGGAACATGGTTTGACACTGCTGTTGCTGTCCCTCCTCCTTGGCTCCTGCAAGGCAGGGCTAAAGGTCTGGAGCAGGAGGGAGATGAGAAACTGAAATCACTGCAGCAAGCAGATCCTCATTTTGCTACAGATCAACATCAGACAATGGAAATGCCAGTTGGCTGCAGCAGCCCTCATCCAGCTGTCCTCACCTTTCAGAGGTGATTACTGGGCTGTGTGAAGCTGCACAGTGGCCAGCCCTCACTCTGAAGTACTGGAGCCCATTACCTAACTTTGGAATTTTTCTAAGGGTTATTTTTTTTTAAGCAAGTGTTTTTTTCCTCTTAAATATTTAGCTGTAAAGTGCTCTTCCAAACAATATGTGCTTTCACTGGAGTATTTTAAGTACCGTCCCTCTGAGCATACCTGAGTTTCAGTAGCTCTTGCTGTGTCTGTGCTAAGTCCCAAGGGCTGCTGAATAAGCTTATTTGAAGGAAATAAGAAGGGTCTGTGTGAAGCTACTTACTGAGGAAACAGCAGTTCCTGTGCTTTCCACTCTGGAGATCCTTTGGCAGGAACAGTGTTTCCAAGTCTTTCAAGTGGCTGAATTCTTCTTGCAAGTCTGTCTCTGTTAAAGACTTCTTTAGACCCGCCACATAAATCACACCTTCATTTTCTACATCCAGTTCTAACTCCTTAATCAGAACGTCGCAGTCCAGCATTGCTGCAGTGACAGGTCTCTGCACCTGGGGTGGATGCAGCAGGAACAAACAGCACGTCAGCCCACACAGCTCTGTTCTGAGTTTCTATTTTAAAGTATTTTTTCTCCCATTACCAGAAGTTGCCAGGCTATTTTCCCTCCCTTGAAAAAAACATGACTAATGAAGGCTAACTTAATTAGTCATGAAAAAGGAAGAGAGATCATATCTGTAATGCAGAAACACTACAGAACTAAAATGCCAGGCTCTGTATAGCCCTGTTACTTGGCTCTTCCTTTTAAAGCTCCAGGTGGAAGTCAGAATGTTTTCTAACCCCCTTCTGCTGACAGGCAGAAAGGAAAAAAAGGGGATAAAACCACTTGGGTTTCTGCTGATGGGCCTAAATTGTCCAGGGACAGCAGAACTGTAAGAGCAGAAGCAGCCAGCATTTGCCCAGACACTGCTGTGAGCAGATGTTAAAGAGACAGA